AAACGCCTCTTCTCCAACAGCTTTCACTGGCCCTTGTGCACGTTCTTCACGTGCTTTTTCAGGTGTCCGGTCTGCGTGAACTTTTTGGGGCAGTGCGGGCAGGTGTAGGGTTTCTCCCCGGTGTGGGTGTATTTGTGCCGTTTCAGGTTGTTGAAGTCCAGGAACCCCTTCCCGCAGAAGGGGCACCAGTGCCTCTTCTCCCCGTTGTGCCAGCGCAGGTGCACGTTCAGCTCCACCCTCCTGGTGAACTTCTTCTCGCACAGGTGGCAGTGGAAGGGTTTCTCCCCGGTGTGGATCCGGATGTGGACCTCCACGTCCCTCTTGGTGAAGAAGCCCTTGTTGCAGACCTGGCAGATGAAGGGCTTGATCCGGCCGTGGACCATCTGCTCGTGCTTGGTGAGTCCGAAGGGATAAACGAACCCCTTCCCGCATTCCCGGCACACGTGGATGCGCCCGTTCCGGTGCACGCGTCCGTGCCGTTTGAAGGTCTTGGCGTCGGGGAAGCTCTTCCCGCAGAGCGGGCAGCAGAAGGGCTGGTGGCGCCCGTGGAGAACCACGTGGGCCTCCAGCCCCGCGCGGCTCCCGAAGGTGCGCCCGCACTGGCCGCACTGGTTCCTGAGCAGGTGCTTCCCGATGACCGCCAGAGGCTGGAGGGGAGAAACCACGGGGTCCGGGTTGAAGGGGATCAGGGGGATCTTGTACTCCACCTTCACCGGCGGAGGCCTCCGGATCTCCGTGGAAGGCACTTCGTTGGGGGGCAGAGTGGGGGGGTACCACACTTTAGCTCGGCACTTCTTCACCTCCGGGTTCACGCGGTTCTCCGCCTCGGCCGGTTTCTGCCATTTGGACTTTTTTATTTTAGCCATCTTCTTGGCTTTGGCCGTCTTGGCTAGTTTCAAAGCGTTGATGCTTTTCAGGTTCCCCGTCAGAGCCTGTTGGCTCTTGATTGTTCTGGTCGTCTTGGCAGACTGGAATTTTTTAGCTTTTTTAGGTCTGATCCTTTCTGCCTTTTTAGTCACTTCGCTGACTGAACGTACGCTCAATTTGACAGGACTCGGAGAATTGGATTCCTCTTTAATCGACGTCTTGCTTGGACTTAAATTGATGAAAGCGAAACCGTTAGTGTTGCTGGACATTTCCTTAGTGCCGGCTGCACAGGGTTTTCTAAAGCCAACTAAGAGAGAGTCGGTCTTCTTAGGGCTACTGCCCACCGCCTTGTCCTGTCTGGTGGAGGTGGATTTGGTGCTTTTTGGGGTACAACCATCTCCAGTCACTTTAGATCTGGGACCGTCTTCATTTATGGGACTTGTCGAACTGGATGTTTTGTTTCTTGAACCCTCTGAAGGAGATCGGTTCAGACTCACAGAACTAGGTTTAGAGCTTTCGAGGGTTGCGCTCTCTTTTATTGGGTTAGAATTGGCAGAGGCTGGGCAACCAACAGTCCCTGATGAGACAATACTCTCATTTCCACCTGATTCTGTTGAGTTAGCAGTTTCTTTACTCGAGCTCTCATTGTGTAATCTGGGTTTCTTCTGGCTCTTTGGGACGATTTCTGTATTCGTTTCCTTTCTCTTAGATTTTCTGGTGTATATGTGAGTTCTCAAGTGGCTTCGAAGTCTGGCAACAATGGAGTTGTTCTTCAGGCTTTTCTCTCTACTGGTTCTGCTCTCTGCGACATCTCCCGAGTCCTCAGAGCTACACTGAAACACAATATAAGAGAAAAATATCACACACAAGTCAGCAACATGCAGAAAAGAGAAATAAATAATAACAAAACAACTGGTTTATCCTCATGGACTCAGGGATTTGTACCTTTTTCTCCTGGTCCAGGTCTTGGGTAACTGGCGATACAGACAGTTGTGCCAGGAACTGAGTCTGGGTCATCTGTAGCTGGAGGTCACATGTTCCCGTAGAGCTTGACCCCAATAGGCCACCGGCTTTGTTCTCTTGCTCATTACTATCTAAAATGTCATGGCTCACATGAGGAATTGCTTCACTGGCTGAAGCAGGTAAAGGAGATGGGTCCGTCCTATCCTGGACTGTTGGGGAATTAACAGGGTTTGGCTCGATATCGGGGGTTTTCCGGAGGGTGTTTACAGGAGAGGGAGTTGGAATTCCTGAGAGTGAACATTTGGATTTGGATGATTCTTGAATGAAACCTTCTGACTGAAGTCTGGACACAAAGATGGCCTCTCTGGTCGATATGCGTAAGGGGAGTTTCCTTAATCTGACCACTGGGCAGAGTTTCCGGTGGGAAATGGAGGGTGATGCTGAAGACACAGAAGTTGGTTCAACGGAAATGTCTGAACATATTCCTGAGGGAGAGTGGCTGGTTTCAGAAACTGAGGTAGTTTGGCTGGATGGGTCCATTTGTACTTCTGCATCCTTCACCGTTTCGTCTATATTTCCTGGACTGGAATCATGTGAGCCTGAAACCTGTGGTGCTGCTGGTTCTATTGGAGCTGGTTTGGGAGCATTAGCAGTAAAAACAATGGCCTCCGCTTTCGATATGGTCTCGGCTGACATTTGTTTTGGAGTAATGGTTATTTTTTGTTGCGGGGGAGCGTTTGTGGAGGTCTCTGTTGAGATGGTGGTGGACTGTAGGGGCAGGATGGGGAGCAGCTTGTTGTAGGTGATTCTGATTGTTTTCCGTGGCACAGGGGAGGATATGGGACATATTCCGAGAGGTAATTTTAGAGCTGTGGATGGAGGAAGTAGATTTGCCGAGAGGACTCTAGCCCCCATTGTCGGGGTCACGTTTGCGATATTCTGACATTCAACAATAGGCCTTGGAACAACAATAATTGTGCGAGGTGTATTGCTAGGGGCTCCCAATGTTATTTGGGGACGCGGGGGAGACTTTTGAGCCGTCTGAGTCCCGGCAGCCGACATCACTGACCCGGTGCTGAAAACCATGGGGGCTAGGGGTGGTGTTGCTATGACGACTTTACTTTGAACCTGTGCGCATATGGAGGAAGTAGCAATTGTTCTAGAAGGACTAACGTCTGGGGGATGTGT